CACAGTTCTGAACCCAAGGCCTCATTCAATAAAAGTTAAATCGGATCAGATCACTAGATGCCTTCTTAAATGAGAGCTTGTCATTCTGGTAACACTTTGGCGTTTCAAACTTTTCTTTGCTTACCAAGTAAACGTTGGTTTCAGTAAGCTCATACCCAAGGTGAAAGAATGTTAGATTTGAATTGAGTAGCTTTGTGTGTGTGTGTACATATACACACACACACACACACACACACACACAATACATCAATATCTATACATATATCCTTCACTTCTGTTTAAAAACTTCTCATACCTCAAAGAGTGATAAAAATCATTACAAAGCTTGATAAAAATGATTACATAAATGACTCATTACAAATATGGAAAAACGACAAAGTATTTACGTCTGCATTTTGTACAAAAAACACCCATTGCAATTATTTTCATATAGAGGACACTTTTAGGCATTTAAAAAATGGGAGGGTCAGAGCAGGCTGTCCACTGGGTATCCAGACCATGCTTTGCTACCAAGACACATTACAGTTACGAATGGAGTGAGAATTTTATTTTAGAGAAATTACAGGATTTTAAAACAGCAGGTACCCTCGAGATTTGATACCAAGATCCCAGGTAAGGAAACTAAAGTTCAAAAAGGTAAAATAATTTGCTTATTACACGTAACTTAGTTTTGGTCCCAGACCTAGACCCCAGGTCTCCTGAATCGGGTGCTTTCTCTGCGCCACAGTTTTTGCCCTACAACTGAAGATCAGGCTGGATTATCCTTAGTTCTATCAACTCTGTGCTTTCTCCACACTCAGTGTTTAAATGGGATAGATCTAATTCAGATCAAGTTGGCTTATGCCTCCTCGGTTCTTTCTTTTGTTTTCAGTCTTTTATCATCAGCATTGGTGAGCTTCTGTTTTATTCAAACGACACACTGGGAGTAACACCAAGGAGGAAGTTGACACCCATCCAAACTAAATGACTCGGGACACAGGACCGAGCCATTCCCAGCCCCAGCTGGAAAAAGCTGAAGTAGACCCACGGTCAGGTCCGGCGTCCGAGGGCCACGTGCGGCAGGAGGGGCCGCCTTCTGGTTGGCGCTCCGAGGGGCTCGGTCCCTCCAATCGGCGTAGGCCCTGCGCTGGAGAGGGGGCGCGCGCCCTGCATGAGAGGGCGGGGCCAGCGACCTGTCCATCACCGATTCCGCGGGTGGCAGCACCTACCACACCAAGGCACCTAGGAGAGACAAGGCCGAAGAGGGAAGGCCGCGGCTGGGGGAGGCGGGGCCAGGCTGGCGGGAGCCAATCCGCTGGGCGGCGCCAGGGGGCGGGGTCACCGCGCGCGACCCAAACACTCGGGCCCTGGCGCATCCCGGAGCAGCGCAGCTTCTCCGCCTTCCGGTGAGAGGGCCGCTGAACCTCCTCCCCTCCTGGGCACCCCTACCTTCGTGTCCCACCTCCCCCCCCCCCCCCCCCCCTCCCCCCGGGGCCCCCAGTGGAGACAGCCTTTCTCCCACTCTCTTTCTCCCAGAGTAGGTGGCATCTTAGAATCGCGCGCCGCCCCTCCCTCCCCTCCGGCGTCCTCCCCTCACGTGCCACCCGTTTTTCCTCCTCCTCCGTTAATAACAGCTGGGTGGCTGGGGGAGGAGGGAAGGTGGCCTTGGCTGAGTCTGGGCGGGCGCCTCCCACTCACCCGCGAGCCGCCGTGGGAGCAGGAGGATGGCGGCGGTAGCGGCGGCCGCCCGGGAGGAGGCGGTGCCGAGGCTCTCGGCGCAGAGCGCGGCGGCCGCAGAGAGCGGCAGCGGCCCGTCGCGGCGCACCAGAACCGAAAGCGGCGGCAGCCGCGCAGCCACCTGAGCCGCCCCTCCCACCGGAGCCAGCGAGCGGCGCCCACGGGAGCCGGGACCTCCTTCCTCTCCGCCTCTCCTAGTCTCCCGCGCCCCCTGTCAGGCAGCAGGTCTCGCCCGCCAACCCCGAGAAGAGCGCGCTGGGCGCAGACCGCCCCTCGGGGCGCCGGGCTGCGGCCCTGGACGTGTGGGCTTCTGTTTGCGCCGGCCTCGGCGCCTCGACCCTGCCCTCTCGCTCACGCGCTCGCTCCCCCCCTCCCAGCGCTCCGGGCGCTGCGCGCGGGCCCGGCCCGGGACAGGGCGGACATGGGCGCCAAGCAGAGCGGCCCGGCCGCTGCTAACGGCCGTACCCGCGCGTACTCGGGCTCGGATTTACCTTCCAGCAGCAGCGGAGGGGCCAACGGGACCGCGGGCGGCGGGGCGCGAGCCGCGGCCGCCGGGAGGTTTCCGGCTCAGGTGCCCCGCGCGCACCAGCCCAGCGCCTCCGGTGGCGCCGCGGCGGCCTCGGCGGCTCCACGCAGCCGCTCCCTAGGCGGGGCCGTGGGGACCGTGGCGGCTGGGGCCCGCGCGGCGCAGTCCACCTTCAGCATCCCCAACAGCAGCAGCGGCCCATACGGCTCCCAGGACTCGGTTCACAGCAGCCCCGAGGACGGCGGCGGCGGCGGCAGGGACCGGCCGGCGGGCGTGGGTCCCGGCGGCCCACGCCTGGTGATCGGCTCCTTACCAGCTCACCTCTCGCCGCACATGTTTGGAGGTATGGCCCCTTCTCTCCTTGGCTCCCGCGGGCGGCACGTGGGCCGCGGCTGCGCTTATTTTTACCCTTCTCCTTTTCTCCTTCAGCTTGGGCGCCGGGGGTTCGCAGCGCTGCCGGGCCGGGTCACCCCTCTTGCTGGGGGGAGGGGGGGAGAGAGATCGCCTCTTGACCCCTGCAGCGCCGCTGCCGCGCGACCCTTGTGTTTGGTTTTTTTTTTTTTTTTTTTTTTTTTAACACATCGTGCACCCTCACCTCTTCGCGGCTCCTTAGTCCAGAAGGACCTTGTTTGCCCCCCGGAGGTGAAGGGAGCAAATAGTGTTTTAAAAACAAACCGACGCAACTGCCCTGGTGCTTGTGGGTTTTAGTAGCAGGAAGTCAGGAGAAGACCCGTTACTAAATGTAGTTCTATCTGGTGACTCGAGTGGTGAGCAGTTTTTAAAGGCCAAAAGTCAGAGTCTGAAATGAACAGATGAGTCTTTGAAGAAGGGAGTTATCGCCTTTGGAGTGACTTAATATATAAAACTGTAATTCTTATATCTGGGTAAATAGTCCCACCTGTTGCGTACACTTTAATTGGATGAATGTGTTAATGAAAAGTATATTTTTAACCCCAGTAAACTGCTACTTTAGATAATGGTTAATATGAGTCCTGCTGATTTTGGACAGGGCATTAAAAAAT